GAAAAAAAAATTTTACTATGCGAGCAGTGCTTATGTGGACTATAAGCGATTTTCCTGCTTATGGGATGTTATCGCGATGGACTACGCATGGTCGGTTGTCGTGTCCGTATTGTCTTTATCGGACAGAAGCTTTTCAACTAAAGCATGGGCGAAATACATGTTGGTTCGATTGTCACCGTCGATTTTTACCACCTCACCATCCGTACCGGAGAAACAAAGGGTTGTTTCGAAAGAATAAAGCTTCTCGTGTTCCTCCACCCGTGTATCTATCAGGGGAAAATTTGGAAGCAGATATTGATAATTACGATGCACAAGAAACGATTATTCATGGTGGAAACTGGCATACTCCAACTAATATGCCCGATGGATATGGGGAGATGCACAACTGGCATAAGAAAATCATATTTTGGAAGCTTCCATATTGGAAAGACCATCTGCTTAGACACAATCAGGATCTAAGACCATAGCAAGGTGGAGAGGCTCTTTACCGAGAGAGTGAAGCTTCGACTTATGGGCACGGTTTCTGATTGGAAGAAATTGTGGAAAGTCATTGGCCATGATGCAAAGCCTATTAGCATGGACCCTGAGGTGTGGAAGGTTTTGGTGCGATACTGGCTGATTCCGCATTCGCAGGAAATTGCAGAAAAGTGTTCTAATTCCCGCACTGCGACTGGTTCAGACGGTCAGAAAGTGGCTTTTCCTCATACAGCTGGCCAAACACCATTTGGGGGTGCTCGAATGCAGATGGTATGAAATAATTATTTATATATTTTTTAAATAATTAATTTATGGTATTTTATATTATAATAACTTTTTTTAGGCTGCCGAGAATGGAGGCGAACTCCCGCCGATGACAAAGGTTTTCGAGAAGTGTCATCGAAAAAAGGATGGTGCATTCGTTTCTGAGAAAGCCGAGGAGATCTTTAATGAAGTTACTTTAAAGGTTGATGAGCGAGAGACCCAGCTATCTCCCGGAGGTTCTTCAGTTCAATCTGGAGGGTTGACTACTCGTGAAATCGATCAAATCTTCGAGGAGGTATATATTTAATAAATAAATTTAATATTCATTTATTTTTTATATTTTAATTTCTAATAAAATTTAATTTAAAATGTAGGTCGCTCCGAAAAAGAAGGGAAAAGTTGTAGGGATGGGATCTATTAGAAACGTCCCGACTGCTTCGTTATCCGCACCACGCTGCCGAGGACCAGAAGATGATTCAGTCGTTCTACGGGCCAAGATTGCAACTTTAGAGGAGTCTCAAACCGCATATCACCAGGAAATTCAGGAGGAGTTTTCGGAGTATGACTCCATCTTTGATATCATTGCCCTCTCAATCCCGGATGTTGCAAATGCCTTACGAGCAAAACGTCAAAAACGTGCAGTGGAAAAGGAGGCAAGAATGGCGGCACGGAGAGTGGCGATACAAGAAGCAGGTACTCAAGGAGCATCTACAAGTGGTGGAGAGGATCAATCACAAGCTCCGGTTACCAATCTTGCGGATGATTTTGAAGATTTCGAAATTTGTTATGATGCTTAAATATGATTTCTTTTTGTTGTAATAAAAATATTTTTTTTTGTTTTTAATTAAAATAATTTTATTTTCATATTTATTTTCAATTTAATTTATTTAATTTTTAATTATTGTTTTCAAAAAAATTTGGGTTTTATAATCAAATAAATTTTCTTTCTTAAATCGTTGTAAATTACAACGAATTACCAACGAAATATTTACGACGAATAAGTGACGACATAAACAGTAACAACGATTTAAGAACGATTTTTGGACCACGAATTCGCAACGAATTACCGACGAATATAAGTTCGTCGTTAAATCGTCGTTAACTTTACATCGAAGTTACGACGAATGTTTTCCGACGATTTTACGACGATTCCTTGTTTCTCGTTAATTAATGACGATTTTACGACGAATTAGCGGTTACGACGATCAATATACGACGAATTCGGATTCGTTGTTAAATCGTTGCAAACCCTCTTTCACAACGATTTAACGACGATTATGGTCGTTGTTAAACAGGTGATTTCTTGTAGTGATCGAACTTACGATGATATAGTCTCGTCTAATTTACGATGATTTTAGTTGTCCCAAATTTTACGTTGATTTTACGTCGATTTTTAGTTGCTCGATTTACGACGAATTGAAAATCATCGGTAATTCGATGGAAAGCCCAATTTACGTCGATTTTACATCGATTTGGTGCGATGTAAAACCCTTATTTTCTTGTAGTCTGTTGAGAGTTTTTCTTTCTTTTTAAAATATAAAATTTTTAATCAAATAATTATTCTTTTAAATTATGCCTTTAACTAATTTTTTTAGTGAAAAATCCATAAACACTATAAAACTCTTACAAATATTATTATTTTATAATAAAGTCAACAAATTTTGTTTATTTATATATAATTCTAATAAAAAATTAGTTAAATTAAGTCTTTTGATGCCCTAATCCATCGCATAGTGCTCTAAGCTGGCCCTAGTTTTCATTAATCAATTTTTGTACATATTGAAAGTATAATAGTCAAAAAATTTAATTAGAAATAAACGAAAGATTTTGGCTTATTTTTTAAAAAAGAAGAACTAGTGGATTATCGATCAACAAATATTATGTTTGTTGCAAGATGGAAAAAGAATATGATTTAGAAGCAATTTGGACAAAAATTTTACAGAGTAAACTGGTTTTTGTAATAAAAATAACAAGTGTTCGAGTCTACAGTTTGTAGTTGAAAGTGGTGTAAAGAGTTAGATTCTGTCTCTTTGTTCCTTGTTTTTGCTTTTATTTTGTTTTATACTTTTAGATTGTGTTATAACATTGTTGTTTATTCTACCTAATTCTCCATGAATGTCTATAATTACGAGACTTCAATTATTACGTTCAGACGCCTTAATTAATCGACAGCCTGAACGAGTCTCTCGTCTCATAAAGAGTTGACTAATGGTTATGTATTTAACCTTCTTTGACCTACTTCCATTTTGGTGGCCCACGATGGACAACAAATCCGGATCCGAAAAACCGATTCAATACCAACCCGAAAAAATTCGATCCGAACTTTTTGAAATATCCGATTGGATCTATTTTTTTTTTTCAAATTTCGGATATTAGTTTTTACCCGATATCCGAAGAGATCCAAATTTTTTTTTGGAAACTATATTCTTTTTTTTTGTGGGATTCTGCATATTGAGCTTCCGATTTCTTCTCCCCTGCCAAGATATAGCATTCCGAAAACCTAAATTGACAAACTGAATATCCTAAATCGAAACCGTTCATCGTCTCCTCTTTCAGCGACTTTAAGAAATCGTTCAAACTGGTGGGTCTTTTACAATCAATTTCTTAACCTCATTTTTACTGAGTCAGAATTTTAATCCCCACAATGACAATCACTTAATGTTTCTTAGGTATCTATTATATAAAGATTCAGTTGAGTCTCACAAGCTTGACAGATAAGCTTATATCCTTAAGACACATCATTTACCACATCAGCTCTTTAAAATAATTTAAAAACAAAAAATTCATAGCTGAGATAAATTAAACGTTTGTCATTGCTCTAATCAATTAAAGTAAAAACACCTTAAAAACGTTACAAATTCACGTTCAACATTCTAACAATAATTACTTCAACCTTACTTATAATAATAAAATACATTGTATCTTAATCTGAACAAAACTCCAAAAAGAAAAGCATTACAATATCCATTGTTGAACAAAAAAACAGAGAAACAGAAGAGACTGAACAAAAAAAATGTCTGCAAGTTGAAGAACTTTCAAGATATAGCAAAGTAAGTTATTCAGTATAAAACGAACACTAAACAAAATACTAATTTTTCATCTATTTTAAATACTTGTCGATTTTTATAGAAAATTAGTTTTCACTATTTTCTTAAAATTATGGGTTCTGGCAATTGTTCTATGTTTAGTTTTAAAAAACACTTCAAATCAAAGTTCATTTCTCTGTCTTTATAATTTAAAATAACAATGTCTTACAAATTAAAGTTATATTATTACAAATGTTCAGAAACAAACTAGCATATTTATTTAACAGGATCACAAACTCTCCATGTTACTTGATAGAAATAGATATTCAATGTAGAATTTTAAGAGAAATAATCAGGCAAAGAGTTTTTGTAATTCGTCCACAGTTAACTATATACAGGGAATAATAATTTTTTTTGAATTTTGGATCTAATGATAGGCTATCTGGGTGTATTTTGTAATGAAGATGGTGAATTAAATTAAACTATTATCAATTGAAAGTAAACCAAAAAGTAAAATAGAACACATTGATACATCATGTTCTTTTGATGTCATCAACAAACAAAAAAAAGATAAATAAGAGTTTCATAATGTAAAGTTATCCAATATTTTAATAGAAAATGTAAAAGAAACAATTCATCCATGTTAAGACTATTTATATAATTCGGTAAATTTTTATGTAGGATGTATATTCCGATGTTTATAGCCAAACATAAAATACAACAAAATGGTTGGTAAATAGAACAAACAAAACCAAGTACCTAATGATTTGAGTGCTGAATCATAAAACTTAACCAATGTCAAACAAAATTAGATTAGTTTGCTTTAGGACAAATGAATTAATAAAAAGTTTAATATCATAAAAAAATATGGTATATTTTTTAATCTGATTATGTAACTCATGTTAAGATGATATTGATGTAGGTTAAATAATGACCAAATATCTGAAGAAAATATTTATTTTAACAAAGTTTTCAAATTTGTATATTAAATGATTAATTTTTTAGAAAAAACTAATCAAATCACTAATAATACATACACATAAACATATAGATTTATAAAAAAAAACCCGCATATCTATGAGGTATTCTTACAATTTATGAATGAGATCACACTATAATACAATTCATTGCTATTAGACATTATTATAAAGTGAAGACTATATGGTTGACCACTAAATTTAATATCACTGTCAACTGTCAAGAGGAAAGGAAACTTTTATCAGTTAACAAGACCCATGCGCTCCAGAGAAATCTCCAGAAGAAAGAAACTATCATCTTCCTCTTCTCCCATTTTCTCAAATTCCTCTGGTTTGGTTTCCTCTTCCACTTTCCACCGATGAACTCTCTGCAATTACACTGCTGCCTTCACATCCTCCGTCCAAAACCCCGTCTTTTTCGCTGTTCCACTACCTTCACTCCCCGCACGTGCTATTTTCCCGGGAAATTCAGTTTCCGCGAAAGTTTCAGACACAGAGCCAAGGCTAATCCCTTCGGTGTCTTCGCTCAATCCGAGACGAATGAATCGGGTATCGGAGGCGAAGAAAGTTTATACAAGAAAGAGGAACCGGAACGACCTCCTTTCGATATCAATCTCGCCATCATCCTCGCTGGTTTTGCTTTCGAAGCCTACGCTACACCTCCGGTAACATCTTATCCCTCTCCTTCTGAGAATTTCCTACCTCGGAAAATTTTAATTTCTGTGTTTGATTTTTTTTTCCAGGAAAATATCGGGAAACGGGAGGTTAATGCAGCTGGGTGTAATACTCTCTACCTTTCTGAGTATGTCACTCTATTTTGGCCATGGTGGTTTTTGTTGCCAAGATATTTTTTTATTGAGATACTGAAAGAGCTTGTTGCATTATGGTTTGTTTCAGGGCATTTGTAAGAGAAGTATATGATGGACAATTGTTCATAAAACTCAAGAGAGGAGTTGATTTTCCTGCCTTGGATCCATGGGTGTGTGTTTAACGAGTTCTTCAAAGCTTTATCTTATAATATGATGTTTGTCTTTTTTTTTTGTGGTAATTTGAATTAGTTTTTGTTTAAAGGGAACGAGTGATCCCTACGTGGTGATGGACTTGGATGGTCAGGTTGCTAGAAGCAAAACCAAATGGGGGCAAGTTGCTTTTTTCTTTTTGCTTCACTGCATTTTCATTTCTGCATCACTCGTGCTTATGTTTTGTATCTTGCCTGATCATAGTAGAAGTGTTTTAATCAGATTAATTTGTTCGGATGTACAAATTTATATGGCTTCCTTAAACAAACTCTACTTATTCACTTTCATAGGTTCTTAGTTTTGTGGTTTGAAGCAGATTTCTTCCGTTTTTTCCGGAAGTTGTGAGCCTTAGGAATCCATATGTTGTATTGAGAATGTTTAACAGCACTGGTATAAGTGATGAAGTTGTTCTTAATGTAGTACTTTTTTGACTTTTGACAGGACAAAAGAGCCAAATTGGAACGAAGAGTTTGTTTTCAATATCAAGCTGCCTCCTGCAAAAAAGATACAGGTCGAATATTCGTTTTAGAGTATTTTTGCCGGGTCAATTCTTACTCAAGTTTGAGTCTTAATATAGTCAACTATTATGTGATTTCATGTCTAAACAGTTATAATATAAAGCCTTGCTTGACTTCCCAAAAACTTTGTTAATGAACTTCAGATTGCAGCTTGGGATGCAAATATTGTTACCCCACATAAACGGATGGGGAATTCCGAAGTCGACCTGGAATGCATTTGTGATGGTGAGAAGTAGTTCAAGAATTTATTACCACTTTACATTATTTTGTCATTTTGAGTTAAACATTAGGAGAAAGGTCTGTTTTATTGTTTGATATAGTTCTTGAAACTAGTAATACTGGAATACGCATCCAAAATTTCGCTGTGAGCCTGCTGGAGAACCCAGAATATTAATAGACACTAACAAAGGTTAAGATTAGGGTAGACTGGAATCTAAAGATATATGTAATCGCTTGCCACAATGTAGTACGTTAGGCTCGATTAAACTGAAAACTTTTACACTAACAATGATTATGGTTTTCCTGGAAATGCTTCTTGTTTCCTAGGCTCTGAAAACCTGTAGATATTGACTGCGTCTGACTAAAGGAATCAACTATGGATCATTGATACACAAGTAGTGATACATTTGATGACTGCACGTCTTACTTGCGATTTGTGTCTCTAAGTTTTACCTGTTCTTTTCTCGCTTCCCTAGGAGACTTGCACGAAGTGCTAGTAGAACTAGAGGGTATTGGAGGTGGTGGGAAAGTTCATCTGGAGGTTAGTTTATGCTGTCAAAGCTTCGTCCCTCTGAGAGTGTTGCTTATTTGTGTAGATTGTCAATATATCGTATAAACTTTGTTGACGAAAGGAATCAACTCAACTTCCAAAGTACGATATATTCCCTTTTGGAAAAAAAAAAGATTGAGACCTGTGGCAAAGGATTCACTTGAAGACCACTCCATTTTTGCGGCATTAAGTTGCACCTCTTTCTTATATTCCATAGATTCACATGTTTGTATTTGCTAAACCCAAGATATGAGAATCTCTACTATTTTGGTATCGTTCTTAACCGTATATAAACTTCCAGATTAGGTACAAGGGATTTGAGGAAATCGAAGAAGAAAAGAAGTGGTGGAAGTTCCCGTTTATTTCAGAATTCCTTAAAAGAAATGAAATGGAGTCAGTTTTGAAAAATCTTGTTGACTCTGACGCCGTGCCAGCACGTCAATTTGTAGAGTATGCCTTTGGACAGTTAAAGTCGCACAATGATGCTTCCCTTCAGAATATTGAACTGCCTGGCTCTGAAGGTGACAAAAACTCTAATTATCATTCTCCAGAGGTAGATATGGTTTCTGATAGGGCTAGTTCAGAGGATTCATTGGATCAGAATCGTGGCAACAAAGATAAAGAAGGTGATGGTGATGGCAGCAGCAATGAAATGGAGAGTGACAATGAGAGTGGCACCATTCAGTCAGAGAGTAATCTCTTGGATAACTTCTCCGGCATAGTTAGTCAAAATATCGTTCAGAAACTTGGCCTTCCTTCACCTGGGAAATTAAAATGGGACGGAATGGAAATACTGGAAAAATTTGGTCTACAATCACGAAAAACTGCAGAAGCAGGTTACATTGAATCAGGGCTTGCCACTGCTGAGACTCGAGAAGTTGATGATGAAAAGGAAGATGGCCAGCTCGCTATCAACGCGCCCAAGTCTTCCCTTGCGGACATGAAAAATGCGACTCAAGAATTGTTGAAGCAGGCTGATAATGTCTTTGGTGCATTAATGGTTTTGAAAGCAGTAGTACCTCAATTAAGCAAGGACAGTCTTGGTACAGAGAAAGTCACAGAAAAAGATGGTGCTTCCGGTGTACTAGACGATGTCTTTGGCTTCTTGAAGAGTGAAAAACTCTCTGGCCTAGTGACTGTTGCCAGGGCGGATGAAAAGAACGCCGAGGAAATGAAAACACTATTTTCTAGCGCAGAAAGTGCCATGGAGGCATGGGCAATGCTTGCCACTGCCCTTGGGCATCCAAGCTTTATCAAATCTGAATTTGAAAAGTTATGTTTTCTAGAGAACGACATCACTGACACACAGGTAAAACTCTTTTGTCGTCTACTAACTGATTCCTTTCCTGAAAATACAAGTTCAGAAAGTGATAGAGTAATTTGCAAGCTGCAGGTGGCAATTTGGCGTGACGCAAGGAGGAAAAGAGTAGTTATCGCTTTCAGAGGAACTGAACAGGTAGGTAGCTATCTATATCTTCGTAATACTCTCGGTTTGACCTTTCTCTTCCAGTTCTCACTGTCAATATCTCATATTTTGTCAGACAAAGTGGAAAGATTTGCAGACTGATTTGATGCTAGCTCCTGTTGGGTTAGTTTTGTCTATATATTCAGCTGCTCTACATTATTTCAAAAACTACTTGAATCTGCTCATTTGAAGGTTTAATAAGTTATTATTCGTCTCTTTGCTCGACAATTTAAATATGTTGCAGTCTGAATCCTGAACGAATTGGTGGGGACTTCAAGAAAGAAGTACAGGTATGCTTGGAACTCTGCTATTGGTCAAATGTACTCTTTATCGAGTTATTCTCCAGTGCTGCTATGGATTTTACAGGTTCATAGCGGATTTCTGAGCGCATATGATTCAGTGCGGATAAGGATAATATCGCTGCTCAAAATGGCTATTGGTTACGTGTAGGTGCTTGTGTTTCAATTTACGGAGTTTTCCTTACCTCTTGTTTCAGTGGTTGCATTCTCTTTGCTGGGGAAAAAATATCTGTCAATGTTGAAAGGGCCACAATCTGTCTTCTTGTAGTATTTTGTTATAGATAAAAGTTAATTTTTATTTTTATTTTGTCAGGACAGTACAATATAGTGATTGACTTTTACGTTGTTGAGGTGTATGAATTAGACATCCTTTCTGATGCATATGCTCCCTCTTCCCTTGGCAGAGACGATGTTACTGAGCATGAAGATAAATGGCATGTTTATGTGACAGGCCATAGCTTGGGTGGTGCATTAGCTACACTCTTAGCTATTGAACTTGCGTCAAGCCAATTAGCTAAGTAAGTGATTTGATAACTTCTTTCTCCTACATCACCCTGGCGACAAGCAGCTTGATGGGCATTTATGATTTACCAACATGATTTGTGTATGCTTGTTAGACATGGAGCAATAAATGTTACCATGTACAATTTTGGATCTCCAAGAGTAGGGAACAAAATTTTTGCTGACGTTTATAATCAGGTCAGCTTTCTTCTATTGTAAAGTTTTGATTGACAAGTGGGAGTGAAATGGCACGCCGTCATAAAATCTCACTGGTTTATATTTTTTGCATTTTGTACTTTTGCAGAAAGTAAAAGACAGCTGGAGAGTTGTAAACCACAGAGACATAATTCCCACGGTCCCTCGCTTAATGGGCTATTGTCATGTTGCTCAGCCTGTTTATCTCGCTGCTGGAGACGTGGTAAGCCGACCCTTTGACCCCATATTTATCCTGGAGTTGCTGTTCTATGTGAAAGAAATGATTCATGCTCCTCCTCGTGTTGCTTATCATCGAAACATTTTTTTTGCTTGTGGTCTTCGATTTAGCAAATTACCATTTGTTTGATTCTATCTGGGGTAAGCATCTTGTGTAACCTGTCAAATTTATAAATGATGTGCAACTCTTTCTGCGTTACTCTGCATTACGAGCTTGTTAAGTTATGTAATACGCTTTTCTAGCATAGGGTCATTAAATAATAGAAAGTTTTCTGATAATGTTGCAGGAGAATTTAGAGTTCCAAAAAGATGGTTATCATGGTGAGGTGATTGGGGAAGCGACACCTGATATTCTTGTTAGTAGATTTGTAAGTCCTCCCAACTTTTTCCTGGTTTCTTCACATATTTCTTTTGATCATCATTTTAGTTTTATTTTTCCTGGTTTTATTTCTCATATACTTAGTCTGCATATCTTTGTTATTTGGATTGTTTAGTTTCCTTAGCTAAGAAGGGTATTACGTACAGGAAAAAGAGATCTCTGAACCTGAACTGACTTGTCCTATTATTTTAGGTTTACATTTGCTAGCAGCGATTTTGTTGTGCACCTGTGTCGTGTGGCACAGACATTTATCCATAGATGAATGCAATCCTTGTATAGACGAACCCAAAACTTGTTTCATGTTGGGTTGTCTTTTCATTCGATTAATCTCTCCTGGGATTTAGAAGTTTCTAGCTTTTTGGGTATACTTCAGAAGATGTTGAGAGGAGTGACACGCTGATGTGAGTAAATTGGTGCTATATTTCAGATGAAAGGTGAGAAGGAACTCGTTGAGCAGATACTTCAAACCGAAATTAAAATATTCAACGCAATTCGTGATGGGAGTGCTCTTATGCAGCATATGGAGGATTTCTATTACATCACACTGTTAGAGGTATGTTATTGGTACCCACTTAAGCAACTGCTGATTGTAGTCAGAAAATAGCGTATAGCTCCATCCATCTTTCACGTTATTTTTTTCCGACTTAAAGTTATGCAAGATTCACTCTCTCATAGGATAGTAACATATAAACAGCGCCAATTATAGCTTATTGGGATCAATTTCCCTAGCTAATTGGAATCAGTTTTTTTTCGGCAATAATTTCAGAGAGTGAAATTATATTACAAAAAGGTGGAAGATCCGGAAGGGATTGAAAAGACTACTATCTGATCAGTGGGCAAGAGCTAAGACCATGAGAGCATGTAGTGGCTCGCACCAGCTATATAGGAATCACACTGTACACCATTTACAAGAGACAAGCATCCACTGGGTCGCATGATGTTCTCATTGGACTATGAAGTAAGAAGGAAGATATACTGTGTATCAATATGTAATTATCTGAGAGCGGGTGACTCATTCCTGTAAATGTAAACATAGACACGATATCGAAAGAGGACAAGAAAGGTTGGAAATTATCAAAACATTTGAAGTGTATAGTGTCAATGATCTCTTTTGTTATCTTCTCGTTCCAGGTTCCAGAACTGTTCCCTGGACTAAATCATATTAGCAGGGAATGAATTTGCAGTTTACAGGTATTGTAGCCGTCTCAGCTCTGAGCTCGTTAGCTCCAGCATGATCTGCATCTGCGAGCTTTTCTGGAGAGCAGCTGATGGAGAAGTATGTTATCTCAATCTTCAAGTTTTCGCTTTGTTTTGGAAGTTTTGCAAGTTTGATGCAGTTCGTAGTTACTCGTACTAAGTTTCTACATAAAAATGACATTGATTTGGATTAACCAAGAACTGAGACTGGAGGAAAGCAATCTATTCGATGCTGAATATTTTACCTGTGAGGTATATATATTAATTTTCTTTAGCGTCATGAGACAGGAAGGAAATAGCTTAGAATGTCTTGAACTTTACTGAGTCTACTTATAAAGCAATCCATGGAGGAAAGGAATTTGGATATGAAGAAACCGTTATTTACACCCGATGAATCTTATTTTGCATAATGCCTTGTTCTTTCCGCTGCTACTGCCGAGATACGTAGACTCTGCCTCAGTAAGTCATTCTCTGTTTCCTTACCAATTCGTTGTTTCTCCATCAAATCGATTCTCCCTCTGAGTGTCTCAATGGTTTCTTCTCTAACTATAACTTTCTTCCTAAGTTCTTGCACTGTCTTTGCTCCTTCTTGCGGTTTCAGTCGCAGTGCCTCTCCTAGGAAAAAAAATTCATTACTTTCCTTTTCTCAGAAACCAAAACCAAAATCAAAGTCAAAAGTTGAGATTCTTTGGGAAAAGTTTACCATATGTTGTGTGGATGAGATCATCAAGCTCGTTCTTGATAGCGAAATAGAGCTGTTTCCACCTCTCTACGGCCTCTTCCCTCACGGCTCTCTCTAAGCACATCTGCTCCACGACCCATTCCCACTCGTGAAGTTTCGCCTTTGCTTCTTTCTCTTCCATTTTCTGCCTCAGCCTCTTCACTTCCTCTCTCAGACTCTTCCTCTCTTTCTTCCACTCTGTCTCTGCCATCTTCAGAGCCAAAATAACACTATCTTTCTCATCCACCTCTCTTCTTGTTGGTCTCATTCTCTCTTCATTTGATTTCCCCTTGATGCCTCTCCTAGTACCTCTTCTCTTCTGCTTGCTTGTGGAGCCACCCATGTAATAGATCTTCCCTTTTCACCAGCCTAGTGGCCTGAAAAGGTGAATATTTCTTCCTCTTCTTCTTTCTCTATCTCTGTGGAAAATTTGTTCTTCTCAATGTCTTTGATTATTTCTATTTATCTGCAGAGACTCCCTTTCATTCAATGAAAAGAAATGATTGTGATTGAAGAAGCTCCACATTGCGGCTTTTTGCATTGTACTCTCACAAGTTAATTATATAAAGCGGTCCAAAAGCATCTAATGTCAGGTTACACTTATCCTAACACTAATAACACTTCATCTAACTATTCTCATGTGGCCTGAGTTGATGAAAAGACAAAAGAAGTTATGGGCACTCTCAGGACAGAGTACTGAATAGGAAAGTAGAGAAAAAATTAAGAAAAGAATTGAAGTTGTGGTTTTTAGAATTATGAAAAAGCATCACTTCTCTTCAGTCTCCTCTCATTAATGGTGTGGGCTTTGATTGTTTGTCACATGCATATAAACATGGACCCATCCCTCTTTACTCTATCTTTTTGCCCTTCGAATATTTATTATTACATTTCGTTTTCTATAGGTTTCTCTCAATATATGGTTTAAATGGTCTCTATAGCAGGAGATTTGAGTTTTAAGTTTGTTAATGTGAAAAGACAACGGCTAGATTTATCTCTGAAGTTCGTATTTGATTTGCTCTCTTTTATCTTGGATCCGTTAAACTTATCATGAGTAGCCAGCCTTTTAGCTTTGACTCTTACAATGCACAATTGTGAATAGTATGATAAGTGAGTATATCTACTTTGGTGGTAAAATAGTCAAACTAATAATGGAGAGGAAAAAAGACCAAAAAATGAGACACAAGTCTAACTAATCACAATTAATAACGTATAGGTTGAATAGGTAAGCTATAAAGTGAAAGAATAGGCTCCAACATCAATCAGATCAACGTGTTCTTCTTCCTTCACGTGAACTTACCCTGTTAATTTGGGTGTTTTTGTCTCAATCCTTTCTTATCTCTATCGTACATTTTCAATAGGTGACCAATAAACAAATCACATCTTTCTCAATGAAAAATTAAACTCCGTTTTTTGGCTTTTTTTGTCTTTTTTTTTTGTCTTTTTTGTCTTTTTTGTCTTTGTACAATCTTTATATGTCAATACGACGGTCAAAAGACAGTCGTGGGTTGAGAATTCCTAACAGTGGTTGAGCACTCAGAGGCCGGAAGTGTCCGTTAAGGTCCCTTCACCTGGAACTGACCCTCGTCTGTTAAACCGATTTAGTCAATACGACATTCCGCGAGCTTTAGCTTAGTCAATACGACTCTCCGCTAGCCTCTTCTAGTGTATTATGGTATTAGAGCCTCGACTCATGTTATGATTGAATGAATCATTGTTTATGAATGATTGTTGTGAATGTTCTGGAAAACGATTCCTTAATCATGTCAATTTCAAATCCGAATCCTCCAACCATCGATTCTCCGTTTGCAATTTCTACTTTACCAAAATCAAAAAGCCGTTCTTCCTCATCTAGCATCAATTCTCTCTACAAAATTGAATACGTCCCTGGAGATCAGCTACCCAAAACCACACTCCCTCTTGTTAATCCATATGAATACTTTGCCAAAAAGCCTAGTGCTTTCTCGGTTAAAGGTGTTCGAGAACTCATCAAGCCATCTTCCAATCGAAAAGTCATGGAATACGTCCAGTCCAGCAAATTCTCATCCTGTCAAGTCCCAGCAACCGAAGAAGAACAATTCATCTCGCTCAACATACCGGAGAACCTTCCTAGGTTATGGCAACAACAAGGATATACTCACCTACACTTTGGTGTAGTCCGGATCGGTTTGACCTTACATGCTCGAAAAGGTCTACCTGTTGTAGCAAGAATCGCCTTGGTCGATTCAAGACTGAAATCCTACCAACAAGCTTGCATCGGAACAGTCCAAACAACATTAAACGCCGGAACAGTATTCGTGACACTGTTTCCAAACTTTAATGTCTCGCTACAAGATCCAAATCTTCTGAAGACACTCAAGGTCCAACTTCAGCTCACCGGAGCTCCTATGCAAGAGAAAAGTGTCGTGGCGACCCTTCATCATCAGATAGTCTACCGAATCCAAGATCATGCCTTAGATCTTGTACTACCCTCTTCTGATGAAGCACTTTTCCTAGAAGTCACTTCAGCATCTCAAGCACCAAACTCCATCCAGATTCCTCGTCAAATATCTCGCGAAGAGCTGCTCCGCCGACTACCAGAATCATGGATCACCAGCTACGAGAAGCTGCATCAAGCGGTTCAAACACCGATTCAATCCTCTGAAGTCAGCTTTCATTCACGAAATGATGGTACAACCGAAATCAAGTTCGAAAAACCAAGATCATCCTCATTCCGCAAACAACTGTTCACTCAATTTGCTATCCAAATTGACGAAAGCGAATTCTATAGTCCAGCAAAAGAACAAAATCCTAAACCAATCTCTTTTGGACAAAACGGATCGGTACTATATCCTTTCAAAGATGAAGATGGCCATCAATATTTCGATATCTGTTCCTGCTCAGCATGTGAAGAAGCCATGTACGAATCTGATGACGAGATTCGCACAAGGAGAAGAAAGAAAAAGGATCCACTCTACAAAAGATATCTAGAAGGAGATCCCACCGTCGGTCCTCTCGGTGAAGGTAACGGGCGATACGACTTTATAGTCCAATATTCGGAAAAGAAAGATGAAAATCAAATCATGATGATCAACACCGAAGACTTCCCTCCTTCAAGCGACTTTACCAAGGACAACATCGCACATAGCCCGAAGATACTCACTCGAGCAATCAACTCTTCTGGACCAGATCAGCTAAGCCAAGGAGAAAAGGTCCTCAACTGGCAAACTGAGAATGCCATCGCTCAAAATCAACTCCTCAAAACAATAAATTACAAGGTTGATCAGCTGACGGAAAATTACATCAAAAGGCAAACTAGCCTTCAGAGCTCAATAACAGAGATCCATGGCCGGCTTAACAATCTTCATCAAGAAATGATGGCTATGGCACAAAATATGATGGTCAATACAGCACAATTCCGTCATAAAGAAGCAGAAACAGCCAGTCTCAAAGCCCAGTTAAAAGATCTTCAAAGAAGCTTCGAGAGTATGATTTACAATCAGAATCCTACGAGTTCTTATTCCAATCCTTTTAGTGGAATGCCTATGTACCAAGGCACCTACTCCCCAGGATTTCTCTCCAGCTATACGAATCAAAGACCAAAAACACCGGCCCCCGGATTCCTATCATCTGACGAAGCCTTTACGTCAAGATATGGCATGACCTCAGCTAGCAAGCCAAAGGTGTCAAAATCAAAACCAAGATGACAGAAGGATTCCGAGTTTATGGTCAATCCTACCAAACGACCAACACTTACTTCTTCGTCAAGCCATGAATCAGTGGAAGATTCAAAAAGAAAAGGAAAAGAAATTGGTATAATTGAATTCTCTATGGCTAGTCTGTTGGATACTATTAGACAGACTTCTACTGCTCAAACAGCCACGGAGATGCCGCAAACACAGCCTTCTCAACAAATTGCAACACCAATTGCAAATATCGGTCATTATTCGGAGACAAATTCTAACAGTTCCGAATCAGTTTCGGATGAAGAATCTCTCCCAAACCAATTTGCCATAGGCGACGAAAGAGGCGAAACATCAACTCCAAAACGAGAACCTTATATACATGAAATTTATTCAAGCGATGAAGATATGGAGTACAGGCCTCCCAGGCAGCAAGAAATACCAACAAGACCATTTGCCTTTAAAGTCATGGTCTTCACGTTTGATGACATTCCTTTCGAAAAATGGAATGATCGTCTCGATGAATTTCATGCATGGATGAATTCTGAAGCAATCACGTCTCCCTTAGAGCTTGTAATTCAGCAGTTTACGGCGCGACTATCTGGAGCACTCAAAGAATGGTGGAATTCACTTGGTGAATACAGACAACAGCAAGTCTATCAAACGACAATACCGCTACTTCTCGGAGAAATTCATAGAGAATTTATCGGTACACCTACACATTTGAAAGAACAGCTTCAAGAAGAGTTCTTTACTGCGAAATGCTGCTCATTGAAGAAAAGAGACCTAGCTAAGCATTTTGAGCGACAGACGCGACGTTATTACGCTCTTAATGGTCTCAACAATCCAAGCCTTAAGCAGGTATATCTCTCTTCGATTGATGACTACCTCAGTCAACAAACGAAGCTATACATAAGAGATCAAGGCCAGACAGTGGAAGATATTTCCATTGGCCAAATACAGCAATATGTCTTCCGAACGCTAGACAAACTCTGCAAGCAAAAAGAGTTTTGGATGGAATTCATGGATAAATCGAAGCAACTATCCAGGATCTGTGCAAGACCAGATCTATCCATCAAATGTTCAAAATCCAAAAAGACATGTTCGTGTGATGATCGTAGCAAATCACGGAGATTCAGAAAAACGTCTCACAAGCGTTTCAACAAATTCAGACGCAAACGATTTTTCAGAAAGAAACGAAGCTTCAAGAAAACAACAAAGTGTTTCCTATGTCGCAAAGAAGGTCACTTCGCAAAAAACTGCCCAAACAAGTCGAAGAAAAAGAAGCAGTACTTAATCAGCTCAATCTCGAAGATCGCACCAGACCTCGATTTCGACAACCACAATCTAGAATCAGTACTATCCTATGATAGTGATGAACAAGATGCCATATGTGGCTACTCGGATTATGACTACTCATCCGACTCCTCCTCAGAAGAAGAAGAAGTCAATAACGACTGCTGTTTTAAAATCACTCGTATGCCGCAAAAAGAAGAAATTCAAACACCACATCTGCCAGTTACGATCTTTGATCCATCACAAAAGGAGAAGCCAGTTCATGCAATTGCGTTCATCGACACAGGAGCATATACGACGATAATGAATCCTAAAATTCTCCCGACTTCTATATGGCTACCACATCAACAAGAATTTCGAGTAGCAAACTCGGGTTCATTGACGGTCAATCTCAAATCCAAACCGGTGACGATCGAACTTTTCCCAGGCTGTCAGATTACGACAGAAGTGCTTGGATCCTCAGCACCAGGAAAAGATTTGATATTAGGTTAAGAATCCTATCACACCTTCAAGAAGAATTTTGATATATCTATTGAGACACGAGGAATGAGATGGAAGCCTTTCTACAAA